TCCAAGTGTTTGTAATTTAAGTTCAGTCCGTGAACTTGGGCTGATGTGCGAGTTTGTGTTGGTAAGTAGGTTAATTCCGCTGCACATAAACATTCTCTCCCTGCTCGTCCATCAAGGTGTAGCCTAGATGAAAAGAAAATGTGTTAATTTATTTCATGCAAGAGCAGATGGACCAACTTTGGAAAGATATGTCTTAAGTATTTATAATCAATTCAGTATAGAAAGGTAACGAGTGTACAACTGAGTTACAGTTTTTCTTATACTTTTTGAAAATATCTAAAGTTACTATTTGTTTAATAAATTGTCGCTTTGTTGAAGTTAAACTCTCGAGTGATTTATCGATTTGTAATGCCTGTTGAATCCATTATTTATTTGAATCATGCCAAGGCTTGTTATTGATTAGCGGCCACAAAAAGCACGGGATATTTTTAAACGGTGTTTAAACTTAGGCCTAGTTAGCAAATGTTTGTCAGTTTTTGTATTTTCCTAATAATAATATCCAGCTCTCAATAAGACATTCTTTGGACAGGGGGTGGGGTGGGGGTCAAAGGTTTGAAAACATCTGGAAATTATTTTTTCACTTACGCGTGCATAGAATGCTTACATTATTAGTACACACTGCATTTGTTTAAAGACCGAAATATGTAAAAATAATGTAGCTATTTTACAATACCTTTCAAAAATTAAAGAGTCCAGCTAAAAAAATAATAGAGCACTTTTTTGTTTCAATTTCCATCATTTTTATCGTCTAAGCTCAAGAGTAGCCTAATTGGCGTAATTTGTAGCTACAAATTGATAGGCCTATGTTCCTGCAATTTGTCGTCTAACACTTTCAAAACAATAAGACATTCGTGATGTATAAATGTGCTTGTAGTTTTAATAAAATGTGTAATATTATTGCGACATTTTTAGTGCTTTAGTTGAGCGTATTTGCTGTTTTTCAGCTGTTACAACTGCTGGCACACTGGAGTGGACTCCACTTTTGCAATCTTGTGGAATGTAGACAACCATTGTCTTTGGTAGAAGTTTTCATTTGTAAACACATAATAGATTAAAACACAGATAAACAGCAGATGAAAGAACTGCTGCAGGCCAGACACGTTGAGCCAGCCATGTAAAATAAGGACTTGAAAAATCAAATGATTAATTCAGCCAGGATATCCAAACAAAGCATGTTTGGATACGGTTATTTGCTGGTTTCAACGTTGACTTTTACATACTGAAAACAAACAAACACGTTGGTTAATATATATTTAAAGGATTTAACTCGGACTAAAATCAAGATATGGGCACAATGCAAACGAATGATAATTTCTTGTGTAGCCAAAGCAGACTTTGTTGCTGCATATTCAGCAGTATTTTAATAGGCCCGTGCAGCTGCAAACAGCGAGTACGACAGTGCACGCTTGTAGGCTATTTATTTTCGGTATAATTGCCCTTGTAAGTGTTTTTATTTATTATATTATTCTTATGTTTAAATAACGTTTACAAGTAACCGATTCGGACACGGTTTAAACAGGCCTTAAGTATAAATCGAGAAACAACAAATTAGGAGAGAGATTGTGGGAGAGAGATGCAATAAGAAAAGACAGAAAAAAGGAATAAAAAAAGAATGTGTGTGAATGTGTTTTACAGCGTTGAGTAGCCTATCTATGCTGGGCTCTGCCCGAGGCGATTTGACTTTGTATGAAGGGCTTAAGTGGCAAATGCATTACAGGTGCGCGCGGGCAGTGTTAGGACTCGTGCCAGTGAAAAGGTGTCTTTGTTGTGATCAGCTGCGTGCAAGGAGAATGCGATACAGCCGAGAGAGCCTTCTGGTATTAACGTGGCACGTTTTAACCAGATGCAGATCTCATAACACGTCCACCAAGTGTGTTTGTTTATTTTAAATCGATGTGCATCATCCGTAATATCCTGTCTATTCTAACGCTTGTTGTGATCTTGGGATATTCTGCGTCCTCTTTAAGCACGTTAAATAGATGCAGAATTATTGATTAAATTAATAGTTAATTTATTAAATCAATGCGTTTTTGTGAGGTGCTTATTTTTTCTATGCTAATTAAAAAGACTGCTCGTATAAAATAATCTGGTGACACTAAAAATAATAACATGCACACAATATATAAAATAAAATAATATAAAATTATTAAAATAGTTAAAAATAATAATTAAAACGATATAATAAAAATTATGTAGGCTACATACAGATTAAATGCAGATTATTTAAATACACAATTCAAATGTATTTTATATTTCAAGGTATGATGTTTAAACAATTAATGTATATTTACCGCAAAAAAATAAAAAAAAATAAAAATTGATAGGCCAAAAAACTAAAGCACAGATAACGCTTAAAAACGTTGCCAATTCTGTTGTAGTGGAGATGTAGGAGTGTTATTGACTAAATGATAGTAAAATTAATTACAGTATATTAATTAAATTATTTTCAGTTTTACCCTATAATTTGTGCTATATAAAGAGACAAATACCTGAATGATGCGAGAAAACGCTGTGCGCTCCTTTTACAAAATTAAGTTCTTATAAATTTCTTAAGTTCTCCAAAATAAATATATAGATAATACCAAAAATTATTTTCTAACAGACATTCATGCACATTTAACAAAATATCTCTGCATGGCAACGTATAAAGTAATACTAAAAATGTTTAATAATGCAATTAATAATGTAATACTTGCAGCGCAACCAAGACAATTGTCTTTAAATAGCATATAAAGGTAACAATTAAGTATTAGGAAAATAGATTTGTAAAAATATTAATCATATTTTAAATAATTAGCAATCCCAAACGTAATTTCACATAAACTGGAGTAAATCCACAATGCCTTGGACTGCGAGAAAGGTCGAGAGGATTATCAAGGCGATCTGCTTGACGAAAAATAAACACAAGTAAAACAGACACGAGTTTATGAAATACGTACCTTGACTGGGTGAATTTAAACCAATTAAGTGGTTGTTCCCCTTTTCCCCTTTGTATAAATCTAAAAAAGTAAAAGTTGTGAGAAAAATGTGGGTGAAAATTACTCATTTAGTAGGCTATATCTTATAATCTTATCTACATTATATTTTAGCTAGCCTACTCAATCATATAATGACACAACAAATGACTCCTGCTGTTCCAAAATACAATCTAGAAAAATACAACAATACAAAACAATAATGGACGCGAGACTAATAGGCAAATCTATTACAATAGATTATAAATTAAAAGCCAAGTATAAAATAGAAATTATACAATATTGAAGTTGACTCTTTAGGCTAAATTGCAAAACATAATTAATAAAATACGCCTGTTTTATTTGATTATTAGCCACCGTAAACACACTAAATGTTATTATTTTGGGCGCAATTGATCAACTGAGCAAACCAGTTCTCGCAAAAAAAAAAAATTACAGTAAGGTGTCTTTGATTAAAAATGTAGGCCGACTGCATCGAGATCACAACATAACTTGTTGTTACCTTATATCGAGCATGACAACAGAAAATAATAAACAGTACAGCTTAACAAAGCTAAAGTGTTTTACGTCCCTCTAAATTTATGATGAATTAATTTATTGGTTCAGTTGATTTTCAAGTTTCCCACTGCTTTTACTGAAACATCAGCAGGGTAGTCAAACAAATACCAGAATGTTTCCCGCTCAAGCGTAAAAAATAAATTCGCTAGCACATTTAATGTAGTTAGTGGCTGCTCGCGGCCTGTGCACCTGTATGCGGTGGAGCTCACGACCCTGGCCAGTGGAAAAGTGCTTTTTACGCTCGCGGACCGGCGAGGCGCCGTCTGGTTCTAATCAGGCCCGCTCACACACTGCCGTGCTGTTTAAGACCTTTAAATGGCACTTCACTAGCTCGAGATGCCTTCTCAAAAACACAAACACACATACATCAACCTTTCCCACTATCGCCTGTCTTATGAGGGTCTCAAAGACCCCACTTTCTTCAGAGGTCGGTGTCAAATGACCTTCATTTGGCACTTCGAATAGACTACAGTATCTGTGGCCTCTCGAGTCGTGTAAAAGAAACTGATTTTACCGAGTCTCTCTCTCATCGCTTGAGGACACTTACGCTGACTGAGGTCTCTTGAATCTGTTGTTGCTTTGATGAGGACAACCGTGTCGCCATTACAAATAAACACGATGGAGGATTTTCGCACACAGCGCAATGTCTTCACTGACAGGGTTCAGTGGCCCAGCTGCGCCCGACGTCAGAGGTGATTAAACATGAGCTGCTTTACAAGGCCGAGTTACTGCTCCCAAAGCTGCGCGCGGTGGGCCGAGCTCGAGCATCTGGAATGAAGGACCGCGAGGCCTCGTGGACGCCCGAATACAAGAGAGCGGTTGTGCTCGACGCGAGGGGCTCAGTGACCGCCAGGCAACCCGTGGAAGCTGGCACGCGCCGATTTCTGACTACCTTTACCGTATATTTCGCTTCTGAGATGACAGAAAATGATACCTAAGTTGACCGTTAATTTCAAAATATAACGGCGCAGGCGCGGTGACTGACTGCAAAACACCTAGTTCAAAAATGGATCCACCCAAATTGGGTTCAAATATGGAATAATCCAACTCTTGAGTTAAATCTGAATCAAAATAAATAAAAAATGTAGCCCAACCTTTGAATTTGTTTGAAACAGTCCAGCATTTTTGAAAAACTTGCAAATCTTTTGTTTTTAGCCTACTGAGTCAGCATTACTAGTCTATGTGTTTAGCCTAATTCAAATACATGAGTAAATAATTAAAACAATGCTTAAAAAAAACATTATAAATTGACTGTTATCACATACTAAATTGCTATGTTTAAAAAACCTATAAAACAAGAGCATCATTCCATCTTCTTATAATGTAATGTAGTATAGTAAAATAGTTTTGAAAAATATATATAGAATTACCAGTGCCAGCACAAATACCACATTATTAAACAACAGAGGTCAAAACCAACACTGAAATGCATTGAAAACACAGTAAAACACACACACACACACACACTTGAAAGAACTTCATATTCTGTATTTGAATCTTAAATAGGAACAGGAGACTTTTTTAAAACGTTTTCAAACCAATTAATGACATTATTTCCATTCAAACAATCACATGAATTAAACGGCATTAGAGAACTTTAAAAAGCTCTACAAACCCTTTATCCCTTATTTATACTTTTTTCCATGATTACAAATAAAAACCACTTTATAAAAATGAATAAAAATCATTTCAACAGAATCAACTAAGTATCCAAACACACAATCATAAATATTAAAGTATTTAAAAATGTAAAAAGGCAACAACCAAGGACCCTAAGAACACAGGGAAAGTGTTATCAGAAGAGAAAATGACAGACGGAGCAACAGAAATGCATTTGAGTGCTTCTTCCATTGGCTACACAAACACAAAACAAGCGCCTCTTTGGCATGCGTGGAGATGAAGGCGTGTGGGTTCAGGCATTTGGGTTGTTCTGCATGAGCTTGATGTCCGCGTCCACCATTTCTTTAACAAGCTCCTGTTGAAACACACAAGCACTGATTATTTCTCAATCTCGAGAGCATTGGAAGTGAAGCGCTTTGATTTCATACAGAAACGCTCACCTCAAATGTTACACGTGGTTTCCAGCCTAGAACCTTAAAGGCTTTGGAACTGTCTCCCTGCAAGTAGTCCTAGAAAAAGAGAGAAAATGAGAGTGAGTGGCGGGGAGAGAGTGAGAGAAAAAAAACAATGACGAAGAAGAAAAAAGGCAAAGGGGTGGTTAAGTTCTTTATTAAGCCGGACCTCCCAACTCTTCTTCTTCTCTTTCTCTCTCTCACACACACACAACCCACACACACAGGTGTCAAGCTCCATGTCTCTGGGGGAAGGTGAGGGCCGAGGCAGGCTATCCATCCAGGACCCCCTCTTTTCCAGCCCTCTCCCAATGCCAGAGCATGATGGATTATGTGACTCTCGTGGCCTAACCCTTTCTGTTCTCCTGCTGGGACGCTAACACACACACACACAAACACACACACACACACACACGCACACGCACACACACACTTGTGCAGCTAGAGGTGCTTCTCAGGGTGGCAGTAAAGGGTTTCGAGGGTGTCCTTGCTGCTGATCTGATTACACAAGAAGCCAGAACACACACACACACACACACATGTGCATTTACAACAGCACTTTTGTGTTTTGACAAATGAGCGCTCTTGTTCCAAGGGCCCATATTTTAATTCTGAACCCTGAGACGTTACAGTCATGGTTCCATTTTAGCTCCAATTAAATCATTTAAATGACATAACCATATTTTAAAGCCTAATTAGCCAAATAGCATTCATTCATCAACATGCGAAATGGCATGCAACCATCATAATCAAGACACGTATTAATGCGGCAGATTAATCATAATTAGTCTTCACTTTTTTGAAAGCTAAATTAGCATCAGCTGCATTTGTCGCCCATCCAAGGCTTCACATGCAAAACTGCGTCCCGACAATGGAAGTAAGCTAGAATGGTATTAATGCGGTGAGGATTGCGTGTGCTGGAGAATCAGTGCTTGTTGCTATTAAATAGAAAGTCAGCAAGTCAAGACATATCAATTGCACAGTGGAAGGTTACAGGAGGATTTTGGTTTCAGACACTGCTTGTTTAAAGTAGTTCTATACATCTGAGGGTTTAAAACAGAAGTCGCACCAGCATAAATAGTAAATAAAATGAAGATAAACAATATAAAAAAGCGATAATCTTCATATGGGTGTATTTTTATTGTGTGTGACTGTGCACTTAACCTAAAGGAATTCAGGACTACTGGAAAGACAGACCTAGACATACGTCAAGCTGTTTTTTTTTTTTTAAGAACTCGCGTCTTGATTACACAAGACTGAAAATACACTACATGCATGTATCATATGCAGTGTATACATAAAACCAATTTAAGCATGCTGTTTTGTATACTATACACACACATATAAACAGGTCAATGGTCCTGTGCTCTATTGTCGGACAGAAGTCAAGAGGTCAAATCCACAAAAGCAGTGTGTCCTGATCCACAAACAAAATATCCATATTGTTCGTAAACATGTACAGTGCTCAGTATGAATAAGTACACCTTATTTTGAAAATGAATATTTTCCTCCATTGCTTAGTGAATATAAGTGATATATTTTGGGTGCATTCAAACAAAACACATTTATTAAACAGATATATTTATTCAAATAATATTTTAACCACATATTCATGTGAAATATTGGGAAAAAAATACAAACTACAACATTTCAACTAAATGTTTTCTAATTTTTGCTTTTCTTGATTTTTCAGCTTTTTTCAAATTTGCATTAAATATTTTTAATATTTTTCTATAAATTTGGGTGTACTAGTTTTTAGACTATTATCGCAAGTTATTTTGTTAAATAAACTCCAGATTTGGCTTCAGTACTGACTAATCTAATGTATATGCAGAAATATAATATTGTAAAGCTTCCTATTAAAAATATGAATTCAAAAGACAGATTTGTGAGGGGTGGACTTATATATGCTGAGCACTGTACAAATTGGTCTTTGCAGCTTTCATAATATATCATTTTTAAAATTTAGATTTACATTTATAATTCATTTTCAATGTATGTATAATTCTTTTTTTAATTTTAATATTTTTTATATGACTTCTATTGATATTTTTAGTTGTCTAATACAATATGTTGCTAATGTAAATGGATAGGGTGCAATAACTGGACCATTAGCTGCCAGTACTTTCTTTGCTAAATTGTACATTAATTTCTGTATTTATTTCTTATGCAACACATTTTTTAATACTAAATACGTCAACAGAGTCTGTAGATATAAACTGTAGAGTTCCAGTTCCAACATCAATTATTCTTGAAATATTTTAGTAAGTAAAGGTCAAAAGAAGTTTTTTTCTCACATAAATGCATCTATTATGCTGAATAATGACAGAAGAAGGTAAAGTTGTAGAGTTTTTACTTCTATCATATTATATATATTAGGTATTATAAACATTACAACAGACACTTTAATGAATTTATTTAGTGTGAACATGAAAATAGACATTTCATATTTGTCCCATGAACACACATAATCAAAGTACATTAAATTAAGTAAATTAAATGAATTTAAATACATTAAATGAATAGTTTTATTAAGCAAGGATTTATAAAATCGATTAAACATGACAGTAAAAATGTTTTAATCAAAAGCAGTTGTTTTGAACTTTATATTTTAACAATCCTAAAAAGCATCAAGGTTTTCAAAACGTATTTATAAAAAAATGCATCTGAAAGCATTTTAAAAGCAGTTGAACACAGCAATGCAAAAAAAGGTTTAGCATTTTTTATGTAACATAAGACAATGCCGAAAAATCAGGCAAGGCATCTCTATCTGACATTCTTGCTTCAAGGGTTTAATAAATATTTATGTGATCATGTAAACCCTCTCCAGCAGACCGTAAGTGTCTGACACTTTGAATGCACGCGTATGTGAAAGCTTCAAGAGCAGGATGAATAGACAACACCAGTACATGTTTCACAGATCACCAAATCCACGCCTGTTGGACAGACTTCTCTACATGCCGTGAATTTTTGTGTGTGTGTGTGTGATTTGTGTTATTTGATGCAGGATGTTTAGGAGGGATCAAAGACTCTCTAATGATTTCCCATTTCAAACAACAGCCAATCACAGAACAAGAAAACGATAGAGCCAAAAGACCAAAATCCAAAGTGTCAATGTGCTAAAAGCCAGACTTGAATGACAAGATGCGAGTTGCACATTACTGAACAGCGTGTTTATTACCGAGGATCTGTGTGTGCTTACATGTGGTATTGGCGGTGTGTTTGTGTGTTTACAAGCCACAGAGAGTCTACATGTTTTGGCAGGGTCACCGCAGCAGAGCGAACATGAGTCCTGCCAGCATGAACAACATTTACCTCAGTCAGCTTTTCATTTCACTGCTCTTCTTCTTTTATTATGATTTTAGTAAAGGTGGGGGAGTAAGAGAAGAGCTTAGCTGTAAAAATAATACAAAAAGAGATCATTTTAACTGTAAAAATGCTAAAGACCATGATACACTCACAGTCAATAGATATATCAATCAATAGTCAAGATATTTTCTTTCTTCATTTAGAAGTAAAAAGAAGCTTAAAACACCCGAGGAGCCAATATTATTAGAGAATGCTCAGAGAATCCATGCTTTTGATAAAGTCATTTAGATGAAGATGTTAATTACATTTTAATAACAAAACAAAAATGTAACTGAAAAGAACGGTAAAGAAAGTGTTTGATGTTTGCACAAGTTCTGCAGTTCAGCACTACAGCCACATCACATTTATTTATATAACATTTTATCTAGTAGGTTATTTTGAAGTAGGCAACTTCAAAATACTAAGCTTTAAAAAATAATATTGCTTTCAATTGCAATAAACTTAACGTGCTGGTATTCAGTCCTGAACAGCAATCCTGAATATGCACAATATTGTTGTTACTGTTACTTCAAAAATCATGAATTATTTGGTTGCTAAAATTTGTAATTATTTTAAAACACAATTTAGCTTACCTAAAATAGAAAATGTAACGTAACTTATTATACAAGCGAAAAAAGTTTATATACTCAAAAAAAAAAAAAAAATTGTCATAAGGGTACACATTTTGAAATTGAGATTTATCCATCAACTTAGAGCTGAATAAATAAGCTTTCATTGATGTATGTCAATATTTGGTCTAGATAAAACCATTTGAAAATCTACAATGAGGGTTCAAAAGTAAATAACTAATATAAATAATAAATATAGAGAAAACAGACTTTAAACTGTCTGAAGCAGTGTTTAGGGTAGTGTAACACAAGTAATGCTAGTTACGTAATAATATAACTCTTTCAAGTAACGAGTAAAGCAACGCATTACTTAAAAAAATTAAGTAATAATATTTGAGTTACTTTTCAAAAACTGTAATGTGAGTTACTTTTTAGTTTACAAAAACGGCTTTTAAAAAATGCTGAATTAAAATGATCGAAGTTACGTTGAATCCCGCACACAATGAGAGAATGCAGGAACAGACAGAAATGAAGACAGCAGAGCCTTACATTTCTGAAGATAACGTTACATTATTTTTTATGTTTTTCCTCTATTTAAAAAATAAAGGAAAAAAAAAAACCTGTGCAAGTTCTGAAAGAGATCAAGCCACAGTCAAGTCAGAAAAAGTAGCGCAAAAGTAGCGTTACATATTACCTACCATTAAAAAGTAACTTTTTTGGGGAAGTAACTCAATATGGTAATATACTGGACATTACAAATCAAAAAATGGTGTTTTTATTTACCGAAGGAGATGCACAAAATGTCTTTATGGAACATGATCTTTATTACTTTGTATGGATCAAATGCTAATTTTGACCCATACAATGCATGTATGGCCATTACCACAAATAAAACTGTGCTTAAAAATATAACTTAAGGCTCAAATTGTTTTAAAAAGGAGTTATTCGAATATAATATTGGGGCTCAAAACAACACTGGATTGCGCTGACTTTCATTGTCTTAAACATTTAAACATTTTAAACTTTGTTTTCCACAAAAGATTTCAGGTATTTTCATACACGTCTGAAACAACATGACAGTGAGTACATGATGACACAATTTCCATTTTGTGGCTGAACTATCCCTTTAACACAACCTGA